GTAGAGATACACAGATGAAGCGCTACACGTCAGAGGCTGGTGACATGTAAAGCAGTCTCAGTCATTTTCCCAGGGTTTCCTAGCTAAGCATCACCATTGCCCTACTCCCAAAAAGCATTCCACTTTTGCCTGTACTTCAGCTAAAGCAAGTCATTTCACCATCAGACTGGACTACACTAAAAGATTTTATTATTTTTCCACCACTCCACCCCCTGCAATACTGGGAGATGAACAGATCCTCTGAAAGTTTTTTGGGATCACGTGGGAAAGTGAAGGGAAACTTCTGTTGCAGAAATCCACTTGTACAGCATTCATTTTAACCCAGCATTTCCAGCCCTTCAGTCTTTGTACAAGTAATTTTTAAAACAGAGAATAATTCTCCCTCCAGTGATGAAGAAAAGGGCATCAAAATTCCATAAATGTATTTTCAGATCCAATTTTGCAGAAAAAAATTAACAGCCTTAATGTCTCAGGTATCAGAGACAAAGCTAAAGGAATTTTATTTAGAGGTATAATTTCAGAGCCCTGCTCTCTTACCACCCCCACCCCAAAAAGGAAAAATACACAGGAAATGTTACACTCAGAAATTACAGAATAAATTTATAGTTGTCTTTTATAAAGGGAGAGAGGTAACCAGAAGTTTATTAATACTGCTTTCTTAAGAAGAATAAACACAAGGATTGTGACATAAGGAGGTTAAGAAGTGCTTGCTCTGTAATTTCATATGGCAAAGAATAACAAAGTGTTAAGGTGCCACACTTGTTTTTTTCAAGACATCATCCCATACAAGAAACACTGATTTAGCAACAAACTGGATAAAGGAAAAGCAACATCAAAAATGTGGCACTTATTTTTCACACACTTCCTTTGAGAAACAGCAGAACCCAGTTCTATTGTTTCCAAGGAACTTTTGTTTCCCATTTCCAAGCTGTAATTTAAATCAATCAAATTTTCACTTGGTAAATTGGCCCACCTCCTGCTATTAGATATTGTTTAAAATGCATTTTCCCAAGACTTTGAGTTGGTGTGTGCTTGTTTTGAAACCCACTAAAGACAAGAGGTTTCAAACTAATTATTCCGAGAATGACCAGATGGTACAACTGTTTTACACACCACACAACAGTATGTTTAATTTTGCTTTGAACTGAAGTATTTTCCATACCTTCCTAAACCCACATAGTTCAACTTCATTGCTTAAGAAAGCAGTAGCAAAATTGGCCTGGGATAGTGCCCTCATTTACACTCTGAGAGCATATAGCTTATTCCAAAGATAAAAGCACTACCTTGACAAAAGAGCAGCACAATTAAAAAATTGGAGACAGAGAGGGGAATGTTAAAGAAACAGAAACATGCTCAGTCTTGCCATTAGGTCTCTTGCCCTTATGAAATAAAGATGTCTACTATTTACTTTACATCAACAACTGGATTTATGAGATGGTTAAAAAAAGGCAAAGAAATTCAGTGGCCTGTAACTGGTGAGATGCTGAAACAGGTTAGCTGCTTGATTTAGAGTTATAGCTCCTTCCTCCAGCAACTTCTTTGGCTCTGTAGAAATCTATCTCAACAGCAAAGTAGTAAAGATGGTCGACAATTATCTGCCAAGATAGTAAGGTTAACTGCACCATAGACAGTGCAGACAGCCAACTCTTAGAAAGGACCTTGAGTGAAAGTCACAGCTTCTGCACATGACAGTGTGCTGGTACTGGTAAGGTTTTCCAATAATCCAGATAGCAAAAATGTCCATCTGACTGTGCCAGCCCACTATAGCTGCTCTTCTGTGATGGCATATTTAGTCCATTAAATGTTGAACATGGACATCCATTATGTTGTGCATGTAATGTGCTGTGGGGAAAACTTTTTTTTTTTTTTGCATATCTTGGGGGATACAAAGCTTGTATCTACTCCTGTCCTCTCAATTACTCAACCTAAGTAAGATACAGTGAAATATGCCTAATCTTTTTAGTAAAACACAACTGAATAGTAGCAATAATTTATACTCAACTGAGAGCCAAGCCTACTGGGAATCTCTCAAAGGAACATCAACTTGTAAAACTCTGTTGTGCTATGGGAACATTTACAGCATAAGCAAACTAGGGATGAACAATACAAGCCAGTTCCCAGACGCTACACAATGGAAGCACTTCACAAGGGAAGCTGCTCTAATTATTGAATTGAGGGAAGCATTATTGCTGAGGATGCTCAGAAATTAACCCTTCAATGCATCACATACCACAGATGGATATCCATCCATCCATCCATATCTTCTATTGTTTACTCAAAACAATATATGTAGATTAATCAACTTGCTGGTTTGCTTTTAAAAAAGTTCTCAGTCATTTCATCAAGCACTACCTGCAATGGTATTTCTATATACATTCATTATTGGTATTGTATTGAAAACTGTAAGTGGAGGTTAACAAAAGCTTTGATGCTACAGGCAAGAGTATAGGACAGGTCTGAAACATTCCATGCTTCATAATCCTCCGCACAACTTAATTCCCCAGTAAAATACAAATCAGTTTTGAGAAAAAGCATCATTTTAACATAATATTAAAATCTTGATGGTAAGGAAGATTAGAGTTGCTAACAAAAGGAACGAAACAGAAACAAAGAATAATTCAAGAAAAGGCTACGCCATTGTATTAAGAATAAATTGTGTATAATGGAAGAAACTTAAATTGACTAGTCTAACAGGACTTCAACCCAATACTGAATGGTAAGCACAGGATATGATTCTAGAACTGCAAAATAATATACTTTGTCAAAAACAATGTTCTAGCAATTCAGAATAAGACATGAATGGGAAGCAAATAGAGTGCAGAAATGCAACCCAAAAATATACTGCTTAAATGAAAGTTCAAAGAGCAAAGCTAAGCATCATTGCAGCATTCCGCAATGTCATTCTGCTAAAGCAAAGTATGCTGCAATAGTGTAAGAGATTACTATTGTAGTGTACATTGCTAGGGCAACATAATTTATGTTAGTGGAATGACAGTGTCAGATTCTGCCCCACAGGCATTCTGCAACATGGGGTAAATGGCACCCTACTAGCTCTCATTCAATCCTGTAATTTTGACCTATGTAGTCCTACTAACTAGCCCTTCTAATACATTGTCACAAAGACCCTAATCTAAAATACCTCCAAATTTCAGCATCTTGCTGTTATTCTTTTTCCTTATAAGCCCAAACATGCCCAGAGCACAAGTGTACACCAAAATATTCACAGGATTAGTTGTATGAGGTACTTTTTATACCCCAAGCAAAGAAATGAAAGAAGGTTTAATACACATCATCTTGTTTTCTTTTTAAAGCTACAGCTTTTAGCTAAAACATCCGGCAAACAGATTTAAACTACACTGAAGAAAAACTTTGTTTTGATTTTTTTAAAGCTAGTAGAATAAATTATTGTTATGCAGAGAAAAGGTAAATGAATCAAGGAATGTTATGCAGATTTTCTTGTTTTCCACAACCTCAGGAAGGATTAAACCATAAATTACCTGTGGTTGCTGACAGCTGAAAGCAGTTCTTACACTGACTGAAAACTTCAGCCAGAACAAAGGTTTTTTATATGTGGCATTTGTCTTCCCTGAGGTAATTTCACCTGGGATAAAATAGACCACAACTGCAAGTAATGCAAGTTTTTTCTTAACCAAGGATTAAAGAACTCTACCACTGGTATCTTTCCAAAAGTTTGAATATGGTTGGAAGACATGGGGCACCTGGCACATTTTCTGCAACATTTGTAACCATTTCCAACTCATTTGAGATTGGCTGAAATCAGGTAACTCTGAGACCTTTAACAAATCTGTAAAGGAATCAACCTCAGAATTTGAACCAAAACCATTTTACATTTCTACAAAATGTTTCCACCAGTTTTTCTTTCAGACAATGCAGGAACCAGGATTTTACCACAAAGTATGGTTTATGTGCTAGCAGTGTCCAAAATGAAAATAGATTGAATTGTTTTGAATCAAATATTTCCAATCTGATGGTATGATCATACACTGTCAGATAATTTAAGTAGCTGAAGCCCAAAATTCCCCATCCATGAAGTAATCTTGCCAGTTTGAGATGTGCCTATCCAGGTGGACAGAAAATGTTAGATAAGGATCAGTGCTTTGCATCAGCTTAATAAGAAAGTGTTGTTATGATACACTATCATAGAATCATACAGTTGGAACGGGCCTAGAAGGCCATCAGGTCCAATCCCCTGCTCCATGCAGGAATCAAATCAAGCATCCAGATTCTAACCAGGCCTGACCCTGCTTAGCTCCCACGATCAGGCATGTCAGGCTATTAACATGCCAATGCCACCTTCCTTGCAGAAGAAAGTATTTCTATATTTCCTACTTTAGGATTGACATTTAGTTCTGATTTTAAAAAAAATCTTACCAATTACCCATTTTGTGAAAGCATTCTTGCAGAATAGGAATGGAAATCTTCTTAAAATATAAGCATAGAGATTACCCTTATTTTGAATATGCCTTTCAAGAATGCCAGTTATGCAAAGCAAAAGGCTTCCCATATATAGTTTTCAATGCATTTTAAATCGAAGGTGTCAGAAAAGAGTTAGCCCAGCTAGGAGGAGTGTGTTGTGCAAGATCATTCCTTACTGATCAAAGCTTGATGCTCAAACAGGAAATCCTTTGAATAGCCAACATGTCAAGGTTACCAACAACCACACTGCGTGCAACAAGCTCATTGCTTGGAGCTAACTTATTCTGGCATGTTCAAAGGAATATCTGTGTTTATCTAAAGAGATTTCCAAGAATCTACCCAAAACTATTTCACAGGTGGTATTAAACAATTTGAGCAGTTTTGTAGAACTATATACATTTCCCCCTTAAAACACACATACCTCTCACACACTACAATGAACTGCATTAACTGAAAATATTTCAGCAAACATAAAACTTCCTCTTCATTTCCTGTGCAAGTCTCTCACAATGACTCTAACAGATATACTTTAGTATTGCCAGTAAAATGTACAAAGAAAATACCTGATAATATGTCTTGATGTTTCTGACCAAGATAGTGAGGTTTTGAATCCGGAGGTTGGTATCATTGTTGACATGCTCATTGACACGCTGGTTGGTTGGCCTTGGATCTCTACAAAACAAAGATTAGAATTTTAGAAAGTAAAAGGGACTTGGGAATCAAACCACCATTAAAAGACACTCTTTCCCAGGCACCCCCTCAAATCTTACTTGCTCCTTTGCTGCCTCACCCCACCTTCAAATCTCCCCATACATTCCTAACTCCCCCTCCTCCTCCTCACAAAGTCATCCTACAAGGTGCACAGAATGAAATCCTAACTGTATTGAGTCAGTACTGCATTTTCTAAACATCCTCTCCTCAGACAGATTCAGTGCCTTGCCTAAGTACTCACACGCCCCTTTGACTTTTTCACATCCTGTTGCATTACAACCTGGAACAGAAAAGGATTTAATTGGCCCAAGTTGCGCGACACTGTGAAGGTGCGAAGCATATTATTGTGGCACAGAAGTTAAGCAAATAAGATGAAAGTAGCACTTGTATAAGTACATAAGAACCACCGTGCAGGGCCAGACCAAGGGTCTACCGAATCCAGCATTCTGCTCACACAATGGCCAACCAGCCCCCTGTGGGAAAACCACAAGCAGGACACAAAAATATTATTCATTTCTTGTCTATACTGCCCATAGTCAAACCTCTCTGGGTGGTTTACAACAAAGAATACAAGCATGCTCTCCCTCCCATTATCCCCAGCAAGCCTGATCCTCTTGTTTTGGAGAATGAACTGGAAATATGGAGTATACTATTTCAAAGTAGATATGGGGAATGGTTATTTTTTTGATGATAATCAACCCACTGAAAAATTCCCCTTTACTCTTCTGTTCCTAACCTGCTACCCCCTTCAAAACACAGGACATTAGAATCTCACTAATTTACCTCACCTGCAGTGTGCAGTGATGCAGCCCATCCTCCGACCCTCCCTGAAGAATCTGTCTACTTCTGGTGTAGATCAGGCAGAAATTATTCTGCACTATCCCCAACTTACTATATGCATTATTATTACATTACATTTCTATATTGTCCACAGCTGAAGCTCTCTGGACAGTTCACAACATTTAGGTCACCCATCTAGAGTTCAACCAGGCCCAACTCTGCTTAACTTTCAAGATTAAGCAGTTATCAGGCCCTTCAGGCTATACAGAAGTTTTATGTGCTATAAAACATAAAGGCATGATCAGCTGTGCAGTAAAGTTAGAGACATTGAATGTTGTGGCAAAGATTGGCATTATGTGGTCTTCATTTAGACATTTATTTATTAAATCAAAGAAATTAAGGACTAGGAAGCTGGCCTACTGTATTTACAGTCTCAGTTGCATAACATTGGTGTAAGAGAATGCTTATTTTCAGCTGTACATCTGGAAGTTTCTTGCCTTATGCAAAGTCTAGCAGATCCACTATAAAAAACCTCAAATTATCAGTTTAGGACTGATTTACACAACATGTTTTCCATCCATGCAAACAGTTCTAGAGTTCCTCAAATGAGTATAGGCCAAGGGTTCAAAAATATGCCCAAAAGCATGTCCCTGACTGGGGCGCAGGGAGGGTTTGTCCACTGGGACTCAGTCTGCCAACTGGGAATTTGCCCACTGCCTTCCTCCTGCACTGTGACCCAGCAGCGGGTGTTAGGTAAGCAGGTGCTGAGCAAGAAGCACACTAACTGCTCACAAACAAAAGCAAAGCTCTCATTACAGGGCGCTTAATCTGATTCATCCACAAGCAAGAAATAAGATGCATAATAATAACTTTTAAAATTACAGCAGGTGATGATAAAGTGCTTCAGGCTTTCAAAGATGTCTGAGAAAGATTACCAACAAAAGGTTTTCAATTCTAGGTTGTTAAACCTGTGGCTTGTTAAATTGGCTTCATCACAAAAGACATGATTTGGCCTTGAAGCAAGAGAATTAGACACTTGATTCTCATCTACTCACAGTTTGCAGCTTCCCTTTTCACTCAGACATAGTCACTTTCTTAACTGCCAGCAATTTTTTCACAAGTTTGGGGGTAGGGAAAAAAGGAGGAATGGAGAGACCTTTGTCATAGTTGGCAGAAAGAATGGGGCAAGATCTAACTTCCAAACCTCTCTTTCTTAGCTTTTGACAAAACATGCCCAGTGACCAACCTGGCATCTTTCAGACAACATGCTAGGAGTGTAGTCCAAGACATCTGAAGGGTACAGGTGGGAAAGACTGCCTGAGAAAGTCAGAAATATTTCCATCACACCAACAGGAAACAATTTACTCCTGCAACCCTCAAAATGCTCCAAAGGGATAAACTGTTCTCACTCCTGGTCATCTTTGTCAGTGGAGGCTGGACTGTTCCCTCTCCATTTCCAGGGGCAGTTGAACAGGATTTAGTTTCCACCTGGATGGTAGGATTTACTCCCCTCTCCTGGGAGGAATTGCCAGCTAACAATTTACAAGCAGTGGGAAACTACTGAGATTCAGCTATATCTCTTCGCTTTCCCTAGAAATCTCAGCCATACAGCCCTAAACTAGAATCCCCCAATTTCCACAGGGACCTCCAATTGTGCCCACAAAGGGGCTCCCAGAGTGAGGTCCCCACCGACTTAAAATATTTGCTTTTAGTTTCTTTAAATGCACATATATATGATTTACAAGAAATGCATACTACTTTCTAGGGAATCATACACAGGCTTCAACAAGAACAGTTCAAATAAGAATCTATTTGAAGATGGCATCTGTACACCACTCATTCATATACATAAAAAGCTTTCAATCCATTGCACTATAGGAAAATAGAATTTATCTTTCCAATTTTGCAAGTTTTTAGCTGTACAAGGAGTACAAAGAATTCATTTTCACTCTCACTTGTTAATTTCCATGAAGCAAATAAGTAACTTTTAAAAGTGTGTGTGCTGGGCAGTATTTAAGATTAAATACAGTATTTTCTGGCATAAAATGTACATGTAATAACTTCATTCCAGAAAGAAGTTACATACTGAACATTGCCAAGTCATATGCCAATAAACAGCATTAGGTGTACTGAATGGCGAGCAGTTACCCAAGTTCAACAATCCCTTGTTAGAGAGATGCTGTGGCATCCAACAGACACGAAACCAAACATTTTTGCAGAATAAGATGCAGTCTGAGATGCATAAAAGTGATAGGCAGGTACTTAAGTATGTTGCAGGGATACCACAACAGTTTCTCAAACGCCCAAATATCCCCATGGACCCAAAGAGGTCAGAGACTCTGTCTTAAACAAAGGAGAGCAGCATGCCCTAATCATCACTTTCCGCTTCATAATTGTGCTATTTTTTAAGATAACGTTATTAATAATGTCACATCTCATCATATTTTATTGCTATATTGTTGCTTGGCTGCTTTGGGCAGACACAGTCCAGAATTACAGGATATAAGTATTTAAAATATAATAAATATTGTTTTCCCCCAATCAGGTCTAAAGCAGTAAGTGGGATGAACAAATAAGAACATCTATAATTACGGTGCTGCTTTTTACAGCATTGTTTTGTTTGTGAAATTCTGCAGGCCACCTTGAATGCCATGTCTTGTAGAAAGCAGGGATAAGAAAATAATTTAAAGAGCTAATGGTGTTGCCAAATGCTGTCTCTACCTACCTACCTACCTACCATCTTCTCCCACCTACACACACTCAAGGGGCTCCCCATATTTGTGCCTGCCTGCAGGTTGGAGAGGCGCTTCTTAAAGGGAGTTAGCTGGTATTACTTTTGAGGTACAACACAAAGAAAAAAGAAACAAATACATGCTCAAATTCAGTTTCAGATTTACCAGTCTTTTCTGTTGCATCATGATTTGATAACACATTATAAGAGCACTGAATCTGATGGTCTCCATTATGTATTTATTAAGTTACTAAGAGGCTGTTAGGGAAATTCAATTAAGGTGTTAATGGCTAATTAGATGAGAAAAGAATATAATTTTCCCTCCTGTGTAGTTCCATTAAGCTGTTGCGAATACAATCAAGAGAATCCTCAGAAATTCTGAGAAACACACACATACACATTCTGCAGAATGCTCAGAAATACACCCAAAATATATCTGCAGCAATGCATACAGATTCAACAGAACTCTCAAAAGAAATTCAGAGAAATGCACATACATCCATATCCACATACATCCATATCCCTGTGCATAGCAGCCACATGACATTCTATTAGGAAATTAGCTCCTTTCAATCTTATTCTCACAACAGCAACCCTTTGAGGTAGGCTAGGCTGAGAGTCTTTGACGAGCCCAAAGTCACCCAGTGAGCTAAGTGGGGACTAGAACTCAGATCACCTAAGTCCTCAATCCTGCACACTACACTGGTTCAAACCTTTGCACATGTAAAGCACATGTATATTTTGAATATATACAGAGCAAGGCAGCTCTGTAGATGGTAGACAGATACCCAAGTATTTTGAGCAAACCAATAAATGCAATGACAGCTGCAGAGGGAAGCCTTTACCATCAGCCACTGCTGCATCATGGGACAATCAATGCCCACCACTCCCATTAGCCATCAACTTAACTATACATGCTAGGGTTTATGGAACTTGTAAGCCAAAACATCTAGAGGATTGCAAGTTGCTTATCCTTGCCCTATGGCATCTCTGCCTTCTCTAAGAAGTTCTTGCATTTCTCACTTCTATCAAACTTGGATTTTTTTCTATAATTGGCTGGAGAAATGGGACCTGGCATAAACTTAGAGATGTTTTCAAGTTATTATAAACTGATTTGAATATGATTATAGAATGTTAAAAAAATATGTAGCAGGGGGTTGACCCAGTAAATCCAATGTATGTGAGAATTGATGTTTTTAGTATTAGTTTAAATTTTAATAAAAAATAAATAAAAAGAAGACGTTCTTGCATTTCTCCATTGTCCCAGATAGTATCTAGCACTGCAACCATGCACTTTTCCATAGAAACACACAAAAACTGCAGTTATACCATGAGACATGACATGACCTCCAGACATTTTACAAGCACAGTCATGGGCACAGTGAACTGTATTTTAGTTCATTTGTCTCAACTGCAGAAGATCTGGTCTTCAGGTCTTTGTCTCCCAAGT